GTAAAATATCTTGAAAATTAAAAACATTTCATAACGTCACTAGCTCAAAATGACCAATATGTTTGGAATAACACGTACTAACACTTGCATAATGCTTATTATCTGCCAGACACTACATCATTTAAATAAATAACTTAATATTGTCAAAATACTATTACTACCCCAGGCGAGATCACTTGTTGATACAGACAGTACTAAGTGGCATGCTCAAGATTCAAATCCAGACAGTCTACTTGGGGAGACTGTACATTTAACAGCTACTCTATCACACCTGTTAAGAAAAATAATTCAGTCATGGACTACTATGCATTTGAAAGCCATTGTTTAAACTACAAGCAGTCAGGGTTGTCAAATGTGAAAACTATTTGCTCATTAGGAAAGTGAATGTGTGAATTTCAAGCAACTAAAAGGAAAAGTGAGCATAATAAATAAGACAAAACTTTGCACAGTATAAATGTTAAGAGCAGAGATGGTGGCACTGTGATTTCACACCAAGATTACTCTCATTCAAAACAAACACACACAAAAGCCAACAGTCATATTTAGCATTCAACATCACAATATTTAAATTATGTACATAAAAATATACTGAAAAACTACAGTAGCATCCCCCATAAATTATGCCCAAAGATAAGTGTCTCATTAACCTTGTTTCAAAACATTAAATATACTTTATCCTAAAATAACTAACTGATCAAATTGTTTAAACAATTTCATTGTTTATTGGTCAATAAAATTCACAGAGTTAAATTTTTTATGGAGGAAAGTCAATCTTTATTGGAGAAAATTTGATATAATTTAAGTTTTCAAATAAAAAGCAGCCTAGAGGTTTAACTCTATGATACGAGCTTGAAGTCGATCAAAAAGAAAGCATGACTCTTAATAAATGTGGATCTACTTTCCTTTGAAGACATCTTTGAAAGGAGCAATAGGAGGGAAAGCAATGTACATCTTCTCTAGAACTGAATTTCAAAGGCTTTATTTGGCCCTTCTTCTACAAGAGAAGAATTAGAAAACATTTTGCCTTTTATTTTCCATTGTGAGATCCTAAATGGGAAAATAAGTTCAGACTATATAGGTCCCCATGTGGTTTTAGAAGCAGTAGCAGTCATAGTGCAAGGAATGCAGGACACAATGGTCTACATAACTGGCTGCTGTGAACTTTAGTGTGAACTTAAGAATAAAAGAAAAGAAAGAAAAACCTTTGGCACTTCAGCATAGATCTCAAAATCACTCAAGAAACTTCCTTCAACTGCATCTGCTGCATTAATGAGATCATAGAACAGAACTACTAATTTAGAATTAAATACTTTGGTGAGGAAAGTTTATTGTTATAAACTAAAAAGCCATAGTTTATAAAAAAAAATTGAATGTGACAATAAATGGTACTTTTATATATGACATCATTGTGTGAATTAAAGGCAGCTTAAATTAAAAAGGGAATCCCCTGAATTCAATTAAATGGCTTTCTTAAATGGTTTTTAAAATATTCAAATAATGTAGAAAAACAAAGATACATCTCTTTTTGTAGTATGCCTTAAATTTCTGGTAGTTCTCCTTTTTTAAAATTATGATAATTTAAACTTATAACAACTGTAATTTAAAATTAGCCAAACAAGTAAATAAAAACTGAGTAAACAATGCAATTTTATTTGGTGCACTTTTTAATCAATATTCTTGTTAGTCAAATGTCTCCTTTTCTTGGCAAAATCTGCGTTAGTTTACCTGACTATGTATGTAGTTTCTGTATAATATTCAATGATTGAATATTCAAAAATCAACTATCTCATTAATATTTTAAAAATACAACTGCTAAGCAAACCATGGTTAAGTTTTTCAGTTATGGTAGTTTATTGGCCCTCTAGACATAAAGCTACTGAAGTTTCTAAATATTTTTCTAGCAAGTGAAATTTGTAGTGAAACCCAAGATACAAAGGCACTGTATCTAAGGTTCTGAAATTTTCACTTTGCTTATAATGATAAATAAAGTAAACCAATCTATTCTTTGACAAGGGAAAGAATGATTTTATTGCGGGAATAGTATACATGAATCACCATATATAGAAGAATATACAAAAAAATTATATTTTGCACAGAAGCTAAAAGAAGCAACTATTTTCAATAGTGATTCAGGAGGTGAGTCAGGTTCCTGTGAGAACTCTGTGAATATCATTATGAGCATCAATCATCAATGACCCAGTGAAGCCCAGAGCTGAGGGTTAATACAGAATGAAGAGATTTTTCCCAAATATATTACATTATATGTATATATTCCATGAGTTCTAAAAA